TTTTGAACACACGTCACAAATGACACAACGGACCTACTCCAATTTCCGGAATTCCATTCCGACCCCGATATCGAGATTTCCACTGCCGATCGTAAAGCTCCAAATTTCCAATTTCACCAATTCAAGCCTAAATCTACCACAGACCTCCAAATTACATTCCGAACACGTTCCTAAGTCCAAAATCACCTAACAAAGCTATCTGAACCATAAAAACCAAATTTCGAGATCATTTACCCGCAAGTCAACTTCCTATTGACTTTTCCAACTAAATAACCAACTTAAGAGACTAAATGTCTCATTCCACCCTAAGACCACTCCGAACACAACACCACCAACACGATATGATAAAATACAGTTGAACAACACACAAGGAAGCAGAAATGGGGGAAACGAGGCTGTAACTCATGAAACGACCGGCCGGGTCGTTACATCCTCCCCCTCTTAAACAAACGTTCATCCTCGAACGAGTCAAGAAACATACCTGAAGCCTCAAACAGGTGTGGATATTTGCTTCGCATCTCCCACTCAGTCTCCCAGGTAGCCTCCTCCACGGTTCGACCTCTCCACTGCACTTTCACTGAAGCTATATCCTTTGACCTCAACTTTCGGATATGTCGCTCCAAAATAGCCACTGGCTCCACATCATAAGTCAAATCGTCGTCTAACTGAACCGTGCTGAAATCCAAAACATGAGATGGATCGCCAATATACTTCCGAAGCATAGAAACATGAAATACCGGATGCACACTCGACAAGCTAGGTGGCAACGCCAGCTCATAAGCTACCTCCCCAATCCTCCGAAACACCTCAATGGACCGAGGACTCAATTTACCCTTCTTCCCAAATCTCTAACACCCTTCATCGGTGATACCTTCAGTAGAACCTTCTCCCCAATCATGTAGGACACATCATGGACCTTCCTGTCAGCATAACTCTTTTTCCTCGATTGCGCTATACGAAGCCGCTCTTGAATCACCTTCACCTTGTCCAAAGCATCCTGTACCAAGTCTGTACCCAAAAGCCTAGCCTCACCCGGCTCAAACCAACCAACTGGAGATCTACACCGTCTCCCATATAAAAGCCTCATATGGAGCCATCTGAATACTTGACTGATAGTTGTTGTTATATGCAAACTCTGCGAGCACTTGAAACTGATCCCATGAACCCCCAAAATCAATGACACAAGCGCGCAACATATCCTCCAATATCTGAATAGTGCGCTCGGATTGCCCGTCCGTCTGAGGGTGACATGCTGTTCTCAACTCAACCTGGGTACCCAACCCTCGCTGCACGGCTCTCTAAAACTGCAAAGTCAACTGATTACCTCTATCTGAAATGATGGAAATTGGGACACCATGCAGGCGAACAATCTGTCGGATATAAATCTCTGCTAACCGCTCTGAAAAATAGGTAGTACACACAGGAATGAAGTACGCGGACTTGGTCAGCCTGTCCACAATAACCCAAATAGCATCGAACTTCTTCAAAGTCCGTAGGAGTCCAACTACAAAATCCATGGTGATCCGCTCCCACTTCCACTCTGGAATATCCATCTGCTGAAGCAAGCCACCCGGCCTCTGATGCTCGTATTTCACCTGCTGACAATTGAGGCACCGAGCTACAAATTCCACTATATCTTTCTTCATTCTCTTCCACCAGTAGTGTTGTCTCAAATCCTGGTACATGTTCGCGTCACCCGGATAGATGGAATACCGCGAGCTATGGGCCTCCTCCAGAATCAACTCCCGAAGCCCATCTACATTGGGCACACATATCCGGCCCTCCATCCTCAATACCCCGTGATCACCAATAGTCACATCTCTGGCATCGTCGTGCTGAACTATGTCCTTGAGGACAAGCAAATGAGGATCACCATACTAGCACTCTCTGATGCGATCAAACAAGGAAGACCGAGAAACCACACAAGCTAAGGTCCGACTGGGCTCCGAAATATCCAACCTCACAAACAGATTGGCTAAGGCCTGAACATCAACTGCAAGAGGTCTCTCCCCAATAGGAATATATGCCAAACTGCCCATACTCATCCCCTTCCTACTCAAAGCATCAGCCACTACATTGGCCTTTCCCGGATGGTACAAGATAGTAATATCATAATCCTTTAGCAGCTCCAACCATCTCCGCTGCCTCAAATTGAGATCTTTCTGCTTGAACAAGTGTTGGAGGCTACGATGATCAGTAAACACCTCACAAGACACACCATAGAGATAATGCCTCCAAATCTTCAACGCGTGAACAATGGCAGCCAACTCCAAATCATGAACAGGGTAGTTATTCTCATGGGGCTTCAACTGACGAGAAGCGTAAGCAATCACTCTACCCTCCTGCATCAACACACATCCTATACCAACTCGAGAAGCATCACAATACACCGTATATTAACCTGAAGCTGATGGCAAAACTAACACTGGAGTTGTGGTCGAGGCAGTCTTGAGCTGCTGAAAACTCGCCTCACACTCATCCGACCACCTGAATGGATCACCCTTTTGAGTCAATTTAGTCAAGGGTAATGCAATGGATGAAAAGCCCTGAACGAACTGACGGTAATAACCCGCCAAACCAAGAAAGCTGCGAATCTTTATGGCTGAGGACGGCCTGGGCCAACTCTGAACCGCCTTTATCTTCTTCGGATCAACCTGAATACCCTCACTGGACACCACGTGCCCCAAGAAAGCCACTGAACTGAGCCAAAACTCACACTTGGAGAACTTTGCAAAAGCTTCTCCTCCCTCAACCACTGCAATACAACTCTCAAATGCTCCGCGTGCTCCTCCTGACTACGCGAGTTCACCAGAATATCATCAATGAATACAATAACAAACGAGTCGAGATAAGGCCGAAACACGTTGTTCATCAAATGCATGAACGCTGCTGGGGCATTGGTCAGCCCAAAAGACATCACAAGGAACTCATAATGACCATATCGGGTCCTAAAAGTTGTCTTAAGAATATCCGAGTCCCTGATCTTCAACTGGCAGTACCCTGACCGGAGATCAATCTTAGAGAACACCCTCGCTCCTTAAAGCTGGTCAAAAAATCATCGATACGCGGCAAAGGATACTTGTTCTTGATTGTAACTTTGTTCAACTACCTATAATCAATGCACATCCTCATCGTGTCATCCTTTTTCTTCACAAATAGAACAGGCGCACCCCAAGGTGACACATTAGGTCGAATAAACCCCTTATCAAGGAGTTCCTAAAGCTGCTCTTTCAGCTCCTTCAACTCCGCCGGTGCCATACGATACGGTGGAATAGAAATAGGCTGAGTTCCCGTCACCAAATCAATACCAAAATCAATATCCCTGTCCTGGGGCATGCCCGGCAGGTATGCAGGAAACACATCTGGAAAATCCCTCACTACCGGGACTGAGTCAGTACTAGGAGCCTCTACACTGACGTCACTCACAAAGGCTAAGTAAGAGAGACAACCCTTCCCAACTATCCCTTGGGCCTTAAAAAATGAAATCACCCTACTGGGAACAAAATCAGTTGAACCTCGCCACTCAATCCGTGGCACACCCGGCATAGCCAACGTCACTGTCTTAGCATGATAATCCAAAATAGCGCGGCACAGAGATAGCCAATCCATGCCTAATATCACGTTGAAATCCACCATACAAAGCAACAAAAGGTCCACTCGAGTCACCAAACCCCCAATAGTCACCACACACGACCGATATACGCGGTCCACAACAATAGTATCACCCATCGGAGTAGATACACGAACAGATGAAATGAGAGACCACGGGGCGAATCCGAATAACGAGCAAAATATGATGACACATATGAAAAAGTGGAACCAGGATCAAATAACACAGAGGAATCTATATGGCAAACTGAGACAATACCTGTAATCACGGCATCTAAAGCAATAGCAACTAGTTTGGCTGGGAGTGCATAGAAACGGGCCTGACCACCACCTGATCTACCTCCCCCTCTGGGGCGACCCCAAGCTGACTGACCCCCACCCCTAGCTGCCTGGGTGGGTGGTGAAGTAACTGGAGCTAAAGCTGAGGGCTGACCCCTCTGCTGAGATGGACCCCCAAGAAGACGAGGACACTGTCTCCTCATATGCCCAAACTCTCCACACTCATAAAAACTCCCTGGTGCAGGGGACGGGGACTGAAGGGAACCCCTAGCATCGGGATGCCTAGTAGAAGGACGTGGCATAGAAGAGCCCTGAACTAATGGAGCACGGGACGAAATCTGGGCTGGAAGGGCACTAAGTGACGAATGGCCCTGATGAGAACTGTGAGAACCATGGCCCGATGATTCCCCACGATGAACTGGGCGACCTGACTGAGCATGCCTGAGTGGACGGCCTCTGCCGTGCTGAAACTGACCTCTCAAAGGAACTCCAGCAAAGCTACCAGATCCCCGAGCCCTCTTGGCCTCCCTCTCATCTCGCTCCTGGCGACGAACTGACTCAATCTCTCGGGCAATATCGACAACCTACTCAAAAGTAGCACCTGACACCCTCTCTCTGGTCATGAGAATCCGAAGCTGATATGTGAGGCCATCCACGAACCTCCTGATCCTCTCTCTATCCGTAGGAACCAACCAAACAGCATGACGAGCTAACTCCGAGAACCTCATCTCATACTGCATCACAGTCATATCATCCTGACGCAACTGCTCGAACTACCTGAGCAGCCCTCCCTGCAAGACTGTGGCACATACTTCTCCAAAAAGAGAGCGGAGAACTGCTGCCAGGTAAGGGGCGCTGCACCAACAGGCCTACGCCTCTCATAAGCCTCCCACCAAGTGAAGGCAGCTCGAGAAAACTGTAAAGTAGTAAATGCGACCCCGCTGGTCTCCAGAATACCCGTTGTACGAAGAATCCTCTAACACTTGTCCAGGAAACCCTGGGCATCCTCGCCCTTGACCCGCCTCTATTTCACACTGCTTCTTTGTCATTTACATTGCCTCCGCCACTTGTTGAAGTTGAAAAAAGTTAAGCTCTTCAATTGGAGCTTCCCACTAACGCTTGTCTGAAGTAGCACCCCTCCTAATTCCTTGTAAGACTTCTCCGCGTCTTCTCGCCATTTCTAATCTCCCTTCTTTGTCGATCATCTCCTCCATATTGACCTCACGAACACTAGCATTTCGATGAGCCTCAATAAGCTGGTTAGGAACATCAATATTGGGGGGAGAGTTCCCTGCGAGGAACCTATCCATGACCAAAATCCACAGAGGGGTGGCCAAACGAGTAAACTTTGTTGCCCGGGAAAAAACCACTAAAGCAACTTCAGCACCACTTAGTGTACAAAGTTCACTAGCCTTCTTGAAGAGACCAGCGTGTCGTTTAGAGAAACTCGCTTGTAAGTTTCTCTCATTTTGTATCTTCACCATGTCAACTTTTTTGCGACCGTTACTCTTTCTTCCCATGGCTAAACTTATGATTTCAGAAACTAACAGAAGGTGATTTTGGGTCTCACCACTAAGAGTTTATTTATAGTTGTAAAGTCACTTCATTGTTTGAATGGAAATCAATTCAAATAACCAGGGAATCAAACATTTTTATGTTAATTCCTTCTTTAGAAGGATTTGAAACAAATCTGGGCCTCATTCTTTTTCCTTTTTCCTTAATTGTCAGTGCTAATCCTAAATGATCATAACTAGACAATATATTTTACTTTATTAGAATTTTGTTATTGGATTGCACTTAGAACAGCAATTATTATTTTATTTTGTTAAGAAGTCAAAGAAAAGTAACAAAAATAATGAGTACCTTTTATGCGGGGGTGAGAAAATTTTTGCTGCATGCGCCATTCATTAATGATACTATTGGAGATGGTTGTGCAAGATTATTTGGTAACCAAAATTTAGCTCAAAGCATATTGGCCATGGAAATATTTTTCTTTTAATTTTCTTTTATATAATCCATCGGCCCGGGCTTTCAATTGGCCGTGGAGATTAGCTATCGGTTTCCATTCTAAACTGATGTTAGCAGGGATTTTTGCAGGTTAGCTGGATTAATTCCATTCAGTAGGAATTTTTATCTCAATGATCTAACGTTGTAAAAGAACTACACAATATTTATGACCAAACATTAGACCACTAGCTCTAAAGTTGTTTGGACGGTTTCACCCAAGTTCACTAATCTAAAGCTGTAAAGTTGTCTAGAAGCGGATCCCATAAATGTTGGATAATTATTCGAGTCATTTAAAGCCTAATTGATACAATTAAAGTGGCTCCGAGATGTATCACCGCACCAGGATAATGATGTTATTGGAATACATGAACATATGTTGGAATAAAAGTTCGAAAAAGATATAAAACTGATCCTAAACCTCCCTTGTGGTACCTCTGTGGGGGTTGGCCAAAATGCGTTACAATGTACCCTCCTCCAAAGAGCACAGTGTATAGAACGACGACGACGACAACAACAACAAACCCAGTGAGTATTCACAAGTAGGGTATCCAAAATCACCATAAGAAGCTACTGGAACCATCCAAACTATATTCCGAAGTCGTTTACACAAAAGTCAAACTTCAGTCAACTCTTTCAACTTATGCCTTCAAACTTGAGACTAAGTGTCCTAATTCACTCCGAAATACCCCCGAGATCAAACCAACTACCCCGACAAGTAACCACAAATGAACATAGAAGAAGCAGTGAATAGGGGAACGTGGCTACAAAAGACAAAACGACTGGCCGGATCATAATAATGGAGTAATGACAAAAAGTAAGAACAACAACAAGATAAAAGTACGACCGAATCCAAGAAAGCAGTTAGACTCTAGTAGCATCTCTCATGCAATAATGATTGGAGGCTTCAGCAAACGATTCAGACTCGTGGGCCAGGTGAGGCATTGTGTTGTTGTAGAGAAAGAAATTGGCTCTTCCATTTCTTAGTAGGAGTGCATATCTCTCATAAGAGAAGGAGAGCCACTTCCTTGATAGTATATTAATGAGTAGGACTGAAAGCCATTGAGTAATGCAACTTTCTTTTCTAGAGTAGTTATAGAAAGAGAATCAAGGGATTTGCAGCATTAGTGCTCAAGTACGCCGTCAGTCTAAATTCCTCGCAGTCTTTTACTGTTGTATTTGTTTTAACGAAAAAAGAATAAAGAAAGTCCCTCCAACTACCCCCCCCCCCCCCCCAATTCTGAATGGGAGTTCGGATCTATGTTCAAAGGAGGGGCAGTAATAGCAATATATGAATAAAAAGATGCATAAAACGACAAATTTTTTTATTTTTATTTTCATTGGTTTGGCTTAGAATAACACAACCAAAAGTTTACATAATGCTTATAATTAGCTTATTACATAGAGAGTGATATTTCTATTGAAACTTATTCCTCTCTTCTTTTTATTTCTGAAATTGAAAAACACGATTATTCTAAAACAACACAAGACTTGACGGCCTAATGCATGCCTTACAAGCGCTTATTCATTATTAGCATAATTATTATTATGAGTCGGCTTTGTTTGCACGTCGTTTCTTCCTTTCTGAGAGCAATTTGGCAAACCTGCGTACAAATTAGGACAGTGTTATAAGTAGCAATAAAATAGATTTATAATTCGAACTAAAGTTAGAATCTAAATAGATAAAGAATAATGGTGCGTAGATAATTATATGTTTTACCTCTTTAGAGCTTCCTCATTGGTTTCAGGATTCTCTTTGGAAACTGGTTTCTTCAACAAGTTTTCACCAACTTGTACCAATAAGTTCATATTAGCCTCTGTAGCATTATCCATTTCGGTAGTAGTGCCAATTAATGCAGTTTCCTGGTATTACATACAAAGAAAGGAACATAAAATAAAAGGAGAGAAAATGGTAAAGAAAGTTTTCACTCTTACATTAATTAACTTGAAATAATACTCCCAGCCTTCCATTTTATACTGATATGACAATATTTATTTTTTTGTATATTGCAAAAAGAATGGCAACTTTCTAAGCTCCTATTCGGCCATAAATTTTGGGAACTTTTTTTCGAAAGTTTTTTGAAAACATTGTTTGTTCATGGAATATGATCAGTTTTTGAAAAATATAAGTCAAGTTTTCAAAAACTGGTTTAGGACAGTTTTGAGTGAAATTTTTTCTTCCACTCACAAAATTTTAACTTTTTTTCAAATAAAATGCATGTCCAAACACAACTTCAACTTCCAAAAATTATTTTTCACCACAACTTCAAAAATCCTACAAGTATCTACGACTTGTTTTACATCATAAGTTTCAAAAATTTTTATTTCTCTCTAAACTCCGTTATAAAATGGAACGGAGGGAGTAACTAGGAGTGTTAAGGTGTTTTTGAACGACATTGCCTTACTTCAATCCTGAGGTAATTCGTTTCAGCACCAAGAGCGCGATAGATGGTGGCGATGTAATAATCATTCATAATAACACTTGCTTCAGATAACATTTCAATAAGAGGGTTCGAATTATTATGAGATAGCCAGGAAACAAGACCCCAATTAGCTGCCTCCTCTGCTGTGTATGTCCCAGCAAAATCTGCATTAGTGCCAGTCCCTAATGAGAGCAGCAGAATTTGTTTAACGTCCAATGGCTTTATAGAAGCAAATGATGGATCCGCTTCCACACTGTTGGTTACTGTGCTTAGGGCAACTAAGGCCTGTCAACCAATGAGCATGCATGTTGAAAAAATCACGTGAAATAATCCACACTAATTAAGATTAAGATGATTTATATGAGGGAATGTACCGGATTGGCAGCAACAACACCACCATCAATAAGATTAAACTCATACTGATTTCCTTTACCATCATCATTCTCAAAGTAATATGGAGGAAAATAAGTTGGAGCAGCCGAGGTGCCAATGCATATGTCAGACAACTTAGCATCCAAATGAGGAGAGTTTGCTATCTGTATTTGTTACAAATTAAAGAATAATTACTAGAAATGGAAATATTTGCAATTACAAATCCAAATGATATGATTTATGAAAGACTTACCTCCGATTTGGTGAATATTGTTGGCTGAAAATTTTTCATGTCAAAGGTTGGAATGATAACATTTGTTAAAGTCTGATACAAACGAGTCTCTCCCAACTTCTCTTGCAGAACTTTGTGAAGATATTTTCCATCATATTTGGGGCCAAAAAAGGGAGGCAAGGCACTGCAATTCAAACCAAATCTGTTTTAATACTATTATACAAAGCATACAACTTTTTCCACTATCTGTACAGATTTTGCTTGTCATAATAGGTTACTTTACTGATCTTTCAAATTATAAATTTCACTTACTATAAATAAATATCTTTAAGAGTCCATTACTAAGAAGATCATTCATCTATCCAAAATTAAGGACTACATTTATTTTACTTTCAATTGTAATAGGAAAGTCATTGAATTATGACTATTTCATACAAATGGTCACTCAACCGAAATTATTAAACTTTTCGATGGAAAAATGAGACATGGCAGCACACATAAACTTTTATATTTTTGGAGTAAATATAATAATTGACATCCAAACAAGACCTTAAAAATTCACCCAATAAAATGTTTTTGGACTATGATACACCAGTAACTACACAATTGCTCTTACTAAGCAACTATTTTCAATGCGAAACTACACACCTTTTCTTGACTCATTTGATTTCCTCGATATTGATTTGGTTCCACCATTATCATGATATTTTAGTCTTTTAATCTTTTCTTCCTATAATAATAACGGGTATAAGTAAAGCAACACATATGGTTTTATAAAATAATAATAGGTACGAGGTTAAACTATAAAAAGAAGAAGAGAACTGTTATGTAGTTTATAAGAAGAAGAGATGTTTTTGTAGCAGGGATGCATTTTAGCGGATTGGTTTGGGTATATGGGTGAATATTTTAGGTTTTCTTTGGGTGTCAACTATTTTATTTGGTCCAAAAAATATAAAAAAATCCATGTAGACTGCATGTCATATTTTTTCACCGAAAAGTTTAATAATTTTTGTTGAGTGATCATTTGTGTGCAATAGTCATAGTTCAGTGACTTTCCTGGTATAAATGAAAGTATAGTGTCTTTAGTTAGTAATTTTGGATAGTTGAATGATTTTCTAAGAAACAAACTCTTATCTTTATATCTTTTAGGTGATCTAATAGTGTAATAATCTTTATACTCCATTTTTGTATAAAAGCTAAACTTAGAATACAATGTTTAATATATAAAAACTATATATACCCAGGTGGAAAAATCTTAGGGCCATGCTCGAAGTAAAAGGATACAATATCTTTGGCAGCAGAGAAGGGACGGCCCTTTTCATTTGGAGCACTATCTATAGTGGTCAATAGGCCACCTGTACTTGTCCCCGCAATTACATCAAAGTAATCTGCAAGTCTTGCATCTTCATCATTGTCTAATTCCTGACTCAAAAACAATCATTCATTAATCAAGAAAGCATAAGCATAAGTAATAAAAAGAAAAACGGTAAAGAACAACAGTAAGAAGCCATAAAAAATATATTTACAGTGTACCTGGAGTTGGCTTTCCAGAAAAGAAAGAACAGTAGCAGGGATGATGCCTTTAATGCCACCTCCATCAATGCTAAGAATAGTCACCATTTCTCCCACCACAGAGGATGTTGATCCAGTAGTTGTTAGTACCAAAAGAAATAAAATAAAAAAGATCCAGTTATTGCCATTTTAGATAATTACAGTACCTTTATTGGACTACAAAAATTGCAAATAACAATTAATAGCTCAAGTATTAAGATTTTCTTGGTGCTTTGAGCATCAAACAAGAAGGGTTTATATAACCATGTAAACAGTGCAACGTCTCGTGGATTAGTGTGTTTCAATATTTCCACGAGGTTAGCGTTTAGTTTAATGTCTTTTGGCTTTTACGACGATGACAAACATGAAGAATGATCAATTATGTAAATTAGGTGAAACATATCTATCAAATTATTGCCAAAATTCCGATGGCTATCTTTTTGATTAAAATTGTCTCCAAGTGCCAATTTACTTATTTTTTTTTTTTTTTAGCTTAGTTACTNTCTCCTCATATGCCCAAACTCTCCACACTCATAAAAACTCCCTGGTGTAGGGGACGGGGACTGAAGGGAACCCCTAGCACCGGGATGACTAGTAGAAGGACCTGGCATAGAAGAGACCTGAACTGATGGAGCACGGGACGAACTCTGAGTTGGAAGGGAACTAAGTGATGAATGGCCCTGATGAGAACTGTGAGAACCATGGCCCGATGATGCCCTACGATGAACTGGGCGAGCTGACTGAGCATGCCTAAATGGACAGCCTCTGCCGTGCTGGAACTCCACCAAAGCTACCAGATTCCCGAGCCCTCTTGGCCTCCCTCTTATCTCGCTCCTAGCGACGAACTGACTCAATCTCTTGGGCAATATCGACAACCTGCTCAAAAGTAGCACCTGACACCCTCTCTCTGGTCATGAGAATCCGAAGCTGATATGTGAGGCCATCCACGAACCTCCTGATCCTCTTTCTATCCGTAGAAACCAACCAAACGGCATGACGAGCTAGCTCTGAAAACCTCATCTCATACTGCGTCACAGTCATATCATCCTGACGCAACTGCTCCAACTGCCTGCGCAACTCCTCCCTGCGGGACTGTGGCACGTACTTCGCCAAAAAGAGAGCGGAGAACTGCTGCCAGGTAAGGGGCGTTGCACCAACAGTCCTACACCTCTCATAAGCCTCCCACCAAGTGAAGGCAGCTCCAGAAAACTGAAAAGTAGTAAATGCGACCCCACTGGTCTCCAGAATACCCTTTGTACGAAGAATCCTCTGACACTTGTCTAAGAAACCCTGGGCATACTCGCCCTCTGGACCACTGAAAGTCGGAGGCTGAAGTCTGCTAAACCTCTCCCATCGACGCTACTCGTCCTCAGGCATAACTGGTACTACAAAATCCTGAGCAGGTGCAACCGGCTAGGCTGGTGGTGCCTCCAGTGTCTGCAATTCCTGAACAACTTGCTCGGGTGTGCGGGCGGCGGGAGTCTGAGTGCCTCCCCCGGCCTGAGAAGTGGCTGCAATAGTAGAAACTGCGACCGCCTGAGCAAGACTAGTGCACATGGTCAAGATCTAAGCCAAGGTCTCCTGAAGACCCGGAATAACAATAGGCACAGTCGGTGCCTGAGCAGGTCCTACTAGAGCATCTCCAACTGGGACATGATCATGAACTGGGGCGGTTGGTGGATCTGCAGGTGCTGCCCTAGCTGCTGTGCATGCTACACCCCTGCCCCTACCACGGCCTCGACCGCGACCTCGGCTGCTCGCGGCCCCAATTGGTGGTACTGGCGGCCGTCCATCCTGACCGGTAGCACGTGTGCTCACCATCTATGAGAGAATAGAATAACAGAAGTTTAGTTTCCAGAATCAACAGATTCACACGACATGATTTCAAGAATATGAAGTTTTTCCTAAAGGTTCTGCAGCCTCTCGAGGATAAGTACAGACGTCTCCGTACCGATCCGCGAGACTCTACTAAACCGGCTCATGACCCATGAGACCTATGTAACCTAGGCTTTGATACCAACTTGTCACGACCCCAAACCACCCCCGGTCGTAATGGCGCCTATCGGAGTAGTAGGCCAATCGATTCAACATTTAAAACATAAAAGGGTCTTTTTCTTAATTCATTTACCAATTAGATATTATCACAATTCTTTTGTTTAAACATTTCAAACAAGCGGAAACAAATACGCCAAAACAACCAACACTGCCCGATCCCGGTGTCACTAGTCATGAGCCACTAGAATATAATCTGATACTGTCTACTCAATACAAAATGAGTCTGCTAAATAAAATACTAAAAGATAGGAAGGAGAAAGGGAGGGCTGCGGACGCCATGCAGCTACCTTGCTAACTCCGGAAAGTACTCTGAGGGCAAAGATCAACTCTCACTCGGATGCTCTAGCACCAGAATCTGCACACAAGGTGCAGGGAGTAACGTGAGTACGCCAACTCAGTAAGTAACAATTATAAATAAAGGCTGAGTGCAGTGACGAGCATTTAAATTAATATACATATCATAACATAAGAACCTCAGTGGAAATAGCAAGATCAATCAGTAATCAAATTCTGAACATCTAGTAAAAACTCCAGTTTCAATGAAAGTTGTTAAAAATATTTATTCGATGTTTTCAATAGAGGCTCGGTATGAGGAAGAGTGAAAACAGTATTTTCATAAAAAAAACAAGCCTCTCGGGCAAGGTATCACTCATATATATGTATAGCCTCTCGAGAAAGACTCTCAGCCACTCGTGACTCCACTATCATCAACCAGTACTCACGCTCAGCACTCACACTCAATAGGTATCTTATAATAACCGCTGCGGCGTGCAGTCCGATCCATAAATATAGTCGACTGCGCTCATTTGGGATGTACAGACTCCGGTGGGGCTCCTATAGCCCAAGCGCTATATCCCTGCGGCGTGCAGCCCGATCCAACATATCGCTGCGACGTGCAGTCCAATCCATAACTATACTCACAAACCGACCCTCGGCCTCACTCACTCATCAACCTCACAAGCCACTCAGGCATCTCAGTGCAACCTCAGGGAACTCAGCCAAAAACACGTTCATACATATTAAAATAGAGTGAGGAACAAGATTTAACAATAAATATGTATAAACCGTGACTGAGGATAAAGCTTTCTATCAAAACAATGTGAGGATAATAGTAAAATACCCCTAAGGGTCCAAACAGTACGACACAAGGCCCCAAACATGGCATTCAGGCCTAGTACAGAATCATTTCTAAGGCACATAGATATCATATAGAGTTTATCAAAATATGCAACTCTACAATTGCCACGGGACGGACCAAGTCACAATCCCTACGGGTGTACGCCCACACGCCCGTCACCTAGCATGTGCATCACCTCATTTATCAAAATAGTACGAAATTTCGGGGTTTCATACCCTCAGGTCTAGATTTACAATAGTTACTTACCTCGAACCGGACGAAAATCTACTCCGCAGTGCCCTTGCCTCTCGACTCGGCCTCAAATCGCCCCGAATCTATCCAAAATCAGAATCATAACATCCATACATGCCAAGGGAACAAAGCCCACGCGAAAATTATCAAATTAAATCAAAATTCTCGAAATTGGCCAAACCCGACCCCCGAGCCCACATCTCGTAATCCAATAAAAATCACAACACTATAATCCTTATCCCGTCACGAGTCTATACATATCAAAATCATCAAAATCGGACCTCAAATGGCCCCTCAAATCCCCAATTTTAACTCTCCAATTTCAAGCCCTAATCTCCCAATTTCTTCCCTAATTTTCCCACTCAAATCATGATTAAACAATGGAATAATTGCTATAGACACAAGATGCAAGGTCCAAGTAGCTTACCTCACTGAAAACACTTAATTTCCCCCTTGAAATCGAAATCCCCAAGCTCCAACTCGTCCAAAAATGGTGGATAAAAGACTGAAATTCGCGAAGTGCTGCTTATTTAGTTTCTGCCCAGCGATTTTCGCACCTGCGGTCTTCTGCGATGCCGCACCTGCGGAAACTCCATCGCAAGTGAGGTTTCCTCTTAAACCTCAAAATTTTGCTTCTGCGATCATGCACCCGCACCTCCGGCCTCGCACCTGCGGTCCCCAATCCGCAAGTTCGGATATGACAGAAGCAGCAATAATCTGCTGCATCAACTTAATGAAATTCGTTTCGCCAACCGCCCAAATCCATCCCGACGCCCTCGGGACCTCAACCAAGCATACCCAACAAGTCCCATATCATCATTCAACCTTATACCAACCTTCGGAACACTCAAAACCACATCGAAACACCAAATCACCCTCGAATTCAAGCCTAAGAATTCCCAAACTTTCTGCAAATGATGCAAAAACCTATCAAACCTCATCCAAATAACCTGAAATTTTGCACACGCGTCACAAATGACACAACGGACCTACTCCAATTTCCGAAATTCCATTCCGACCCCGATATGAAGATTTCCACTGCCGACCAGAAAGCTCCAAATTTCCAATTTTGCCAATTCAAGCCTAAATCTACCACGGCCCTCCAAATTACATTCCGAACACGCTCCTAAGTCCAAAATCATCTAACAAAGCTATCCGAACCATAAAAACCAAATTCCGAGATGATTTACCCACAAGTCAACTTCCGGTTGACTTTTCCAACTAAATAACCAATTAAGAGACAAAGTGTCTCATTCCACCCAAAGACCACTCCGAACACAACACCACCAACACGATATGATGAAATACAGTTGAACAACACACAAGGAAGCAAAAATGGGGGAAACAAGGCTGTAACTCATGAAACAACCGGTCGGGTCGTTACAGTATCATAATTAAATTAATTCAATCACAAATAAGAAGGTTGAGAAAAATTGAGTATAGAAACATACTGTGAATGTCTCTTCACGTGAAGAAGGAATGTATTTCTTTATAATTTCCTCGTCGTCAGTAAACGTAACAACTTTCAAGATGTCATCTTGATTCTGACTTCTGGAACTCGTAACCTCAACTTTAAACATATAGCTTTTTTAAAAAATATTTTCTATCTCCATTGGACATAAAGAGTCGTCTGCAGCACGAGAAGTCTAACAAAAAGGACATAATCTGTCACGACCCAAAATTCACTAGTCGTGATGGCACCTAACCCAACCCGCTAGGTAAGCCAACTAATAAATTTCCAATTTCAATAATATTAATAAGACAATTAAACAAAGGAATTATCTGAATCTTATTCATTTCTCAAGGACTGTTAGTACAAA